CTGGGGAACCAGGAGTACCCTGAGTGTTAGGAATCTCTGTCTGGAGAAAGCTGCCTTTGCAGCTGACAGAAGGTGATGAAGGCTCCTTCTGAGCCAGGTGATGCATATCCCGATTTGACAAGGTGGGTCCCTTCAGAAGGAACATGGAGTATTTCCAAACACCCTTCAACTCAGGGTATGAGACAAACCAGAGAACTGAGCACAAGTCTCTTAACGCACCAGCGTGCAGCAGCTGTGGGCGCAACACTGATAAAATGGTACAAAAACAACCAAAAAGGAAGAAAAATAGTCCAGCAAGAGCCAAGTTAAATAATTATTTTAATAGCTGTTACTTTCTGGTGTACGGACGATTGGTGTGTATATTAACACAAATAATGTTCTTTCAAGAATTCATGTGGGAATTGCGTTATTACCTATATGTTATTGTATCATTACCTATAGGTTATCATACCATTAGAAGTCATGGTACATTGTTAGCTAACAATAATGTTTCATTGCATAACGTATTAGTTGCCCATCTACTTACCAGAAAATATTGGTCCAAAAAATCTTTAATGAATAACTGTAAAGATACCAACCATAAGGATAAGTTACTTAGAAAATGAGGACTTACTCATTGGTAATTTATAAAGCAAATAGAAAAACAGAATTTTATAACATTGCAAGAAAGGATTTGAATGACTGACTTTGCCAATCTTGCTTCTGTGGAATAACCTGAGCAAAAATATGAGATACAGAATGATAGATAAGCTTTTAAGGCTTTTATTTGCTAGATAATTGAACACTGAATCCAGCTAAGTTTCAGGTCTTTCTTAGGCCTCCTACATTTCAGTGGATACACATGACTTTACAGAGTATTAAACAAATTCTGTAAATTATGTTCAGAGCTGACTCTGATAATTAAAATTGAGGAGCCCATTTTTAGACAGTCAGAGATGAAAAATGCTTTTCAAGGAAAAGTTAGTTATCTAGTTAGTATGTAAGGGAAAATGCAATCAAAATAAAAACAGGAATACAGTAACCTGAACAAGTGCTCAGATATCCTGCTCTTTGCGTGAATTATTTGTATTTGCTCGCATTGCTGTTAACACCAAAGACTTTCAAAAATAGATTGTCTGCCGTTGTAAAATAAAGATTGAAGAAGAGACCTGATGTGGAGGCCTGTATCCCGGAGAAGCAAGGCGGGTGGCTATCTGCCAGATGACAAGCAGGCGAGTTACCGCTAGGAAGAATGCAATGTCCCTTCAAGAGCAGTACTGGCTATGGATCCCAGGAGGCTGTGCTGGACGATTTTCTCACTTGGATGCTGTTTCTGATCACGAGGTGTTTATAGGCTAGGTGGATCAGGCTTCCTATATCAGATATTGTCACTTTCTGGCTCCCTGCAGACAAGGTTCCCCACACCCCACCCATGGCACCAAGCAGAGGCAGCTGCTGCCATCTCACCCTCAGTGGAGCGCCTCCTCCATCCGCTGTCCTCACCCCACTGCCCTCCAGCTGGGAAACTGGGAGAGTTTGGCTCCCGGATCCTCTTTGAGGATCTACTTTCTGCATCAGAAATGTCATGTTCTTCAAAAGACATCTGTAGCAAGATGTTCAGAAGTTACTTCTGTTCGCTGTGCTTCTGCTGACAAAGTAAGCACTGAAACTGAAATCTGAATTTAATAAAAGTTCTCATGCGTGGGGACTTCAGTAGCAGACTTTGTTTGAACTTTGCAGTCTTTACAGTCACTTTCTTCTTGCTAATCTCTAATCTCTGTTGCTTTCTAGTAGCAATATGGGAACTGATGGTTAGTCAAGAAATACCTTTTATATTCAGTTTTACGTTTAAAAAGACAGTTGGAGTTTGGGACTCTGTTAGCGTCCCCAGCCATCTAGATTTTCTCTGTATGGTTTAATATTGTCCTGGAAATAATGGAATTTATTCTGTACAACAGGGCATTTGGAAATACAGTAAGCAGCCAAAGAGCTCACTAACAGGAGAACAAGTTATCACGTATCAAGGGCTCAGTGGTACCGCCTCGCACGGGTCAATACTTCATGGCACGTATAAAAGAAGGTGATTTGCCTTTGGTGTGCCATGGGGCAAAAGCAGGTATGGGGATGATTGCTGCAGAGCAGCAGAAGCACCGTCATGTGGCTGTTGCACAACGCCATGTCAAATCGCAGTAATCTAGTCCGGTTCATTTCTATTTTAAGGATATTGTATGGAGAGCGTGCTGGCAATTTGATTTGATGCTTATGTTACAGCAGCTACTTTGTAAGGCTCAGACAAATAGGTTCCAAGTAACATTACAGTAAGCATTGCAGTGGCAGTACAGTAAGATTTACTCTAGTTCTCTGGAGGAGGTCGTAGAGAAAACGAGATGTGGCGCTGACTGGAGTTTATATTTCTTTTACTGGTCGATCTGTACAGTGAAAAGCCTCAGAAAGTAAGGTCACTGAGCAAACAGGATAGCAAAACTCCAATAAAGCTCTAGTTGGTTCTATCGATCTTCTGGCAAGCAACGTTATCACTCGTTTCAAATTGTTTCCTTTCATCTACTCCTTCCTCAACAAGTATTTCAAAGCTTCAGGTTAAAAAATTTAGAATATTTGAAATGCAAGATAGATTAATGTTCAACTATACGTTCATCCCAGTTCTGATGCCTTACAGTATACCAACCAGTAGAATCACATAATAAAATTTTGATATAGAAATTTATGTAATTGAAACCATCTTGTTGTAATGCCACTTTGTGTCATATATTCCTTCCCTCTGACCTCATTAGGTGTGCCCAGTCATTATATACAGTGTTACTAAAGAGTTTTAACTTAAAAGCTGCTTTGATTAATGATTGGTTGGACTGAGGTTTTACTGTGTAGGATTAACTAGATTTAAAAATGGCAAAATGCCATAGTAGCGTTAATGCCAGACTTTAATGAGAAGCAGAAGCGAACTCCAAGGACCCTTATGATTCTAATATGGACTAAACTCATGTGCTCATTACCTTAATGTCCTGTCCTATTTTATATACAAGTACTCCAATAATTCCTGGAGAATAGTAGCCCAGACAGCATATTACAAATATGTAATCTCAAGTATATAACTCTACATTTTTAATGAATCATAAATTTTGATATTTTTAACATAAGATTTATTCAATTTTATTATCAAATAGAGAAATATTCTTCTTACTGGTTTGGGCGGCTTTAGTTGAAAACAATACGGAAGTAGGACAAAGTCAGACTGGCAAATATTCCTCCCTATTAATAATGTACTGACATTGTAGCTGAAAAACATATTCACATTTTTGTGTCATCTGCTACTTGAGCTTTCTTTTTCTGTCTTCTTAAGTTAATTTAGTTCACCTGAAAGTTTACAAAGTTGGCACCTTTAGAGATTAATAACCTTTTTTTTTTACCATTGATCACATATTTCAGTATATGACTGTCGTGGGTTAGGCTGACCCTCCCACACAGCCGGTCACTCCCCCTCCCCCACCCCCAGGAATGAGGGAGAGAATTAAAGGATAAACGGGAAACCCGTGGGTTGAGATAAGAACAATTTAATACAGATGATTTAATACACAGTGTAGGTGCTCACCACCCCCTCGTATGCGAAGCCCGTCTCGTCCCGACACTGCAATCCCGGACGAACATGAGGCCCTGAAATAGAGAGGGGCAGAGAGAGAGAGACAGTATTCCAAGAGTGGGAGTACTGGAAGAGAGAGAAAAAGAAAGAAAAACAATAGAGCAAAAGCGCAGCAAGGGCAAAAGAGCAAAAGCTGCGAAAGAGCCAAAGCGCAAAAGTCCTTCTGTCCGGCTGACCCGCACTTTTACACTGGGCATGACACTGCATGATATGGAATACTAATTGGCCAGTTTGGCCCTCAGTCTTAAGTTCCACCACAAATCACAAGGGGAATAGTGTCCCCCTTGTCCCAACTATGCTCCCCCTTATCCCGCCGTGCTTCTGCACTCCGGCACACTGAAAAGTCCTTGGAGTTTCACGTCCAACCACAAACATCAACTTGCTATCAGCATTCTTCTCAGAGCGAGCCTCTGAGTAAAACCAAAACACGGAGCTCTTCTAGCTGCTAAAAAGAAGAGCTAACCCGGTCCCAGCTAAAACTGGGACAATGACACTGTCAAGAAAACCCAGACTGTCCTCACTATAGACAGCATTCGGTTGTCTCCTTAAATCCTACTAGATTTGGTAGGATTTTAGCATATACTTAAAAGGTAATGCATTGCTGAACGAGGGCCTTTGTATCTAGCTTTTTTTCAGTCCATGATATCTTTGCTGAGATAATCAAAGGGCACTGATTTATTAATAGAGCTGAACAGGAAAAAACTTTCCCATCCCAGGAGTTTGAGAATTTTTTTTCCTGCATTGATCCTAATTTCCCAATTTTCGTTATTTTTCAAGTGAACTTCCGATAGCAAGAAGTGTTTAACCAAATTTTTGTTTCGGTAGAGTGCACTAATAAGCAATAACAACAGTTCATCGCAGAGGCAGCACTGTTTCTGCCAAAGCATGTAGGATGACATCCAACCAAATACTTGGGCTGTAATGCCTAATTTCTCATCGAAATCACGGATGTATTAGACTTGACTTAAATAGGATTACTCACTCAAGCAAATTTACGCAAGGGTCTAAGGCACTTATCCAGGTTTCAGTAAGTTAGGAGTCTACGTACTGGTTTGGCTCTGGGCCCCAGGCACTTGCATAACGTTGCTTGCGTGAGTTACCCTGCCGAAAATAAGACTTACATCGACATGGTTACTCATACCAGCAAAATAGTGCCTGTGGGCAAGCGATGACAGTCAGGGATCCTGCTTCCTCTTGCACCATATTGGAAACTTCAATATGGTTTCACTGATGATCAAAGCTCATTAGCCACCATCACCTTCGCAGTCCTCACCAGTAACTTCTGTGCCACTGAGTTTGTCGACTACAGTCGAATATCACTTTTGAATTCTTAATTGACTATTGATATTGTTTTTCCTTTTCTTAGGAAGAAGGCCAACAAAAACAAAGGACAAGAAAAAGAAGAAAAAGAATTTGATGGAAAGGGCTCAGAAGCAGCACAGCATCTTTTTAGCGACAGATAAAACAAGCCAGTAAAGACTTGGTTTTCTTTAATATATTTTTTTTTGCAAAGTGCACAAAAGCTGCTATATGCTCCTGCCCGTGGATGCACTACGATTCAGCTGCTTTGACAGTATTGGTGGCAAATAACTTGTGAAAAAAAAAAAATCCCACGAGCTTGTTTGTTTATTTATATATTTTTTATTTTATTTTTTCCTCTCATTTTTGACCTGAAGACTTCAAGGTCAGGAGCACACTGAGTTGAATCAGTGGAAGTGGTGCTGAAGTGCGTCAAAGATTTTGTCCTGAGTGCCTGGTCAACATGTTGACACAGAAGGGAAGCAGGAAAGAAACCTATGTATCAGCATTATGTGGACTTGTGCATATTTAAATAAAAAAGGAAGTCTTGGAGGTGTAGGTACTATTGCATTTATGGCCTTTGTCTCCTATATTTGTACATTTCAAGAGTAAATGGATATGACTTACCTACTTAGCATTAATGTATGTTGTTCTCAGCACCTGCTACATTGAAATAGTTGTATAATAAAACTGCTTTAAGAGAATATACCACAGGAATTACTGCTTAGAGTTCCAGAAGCACAACAGACCCTATGTGTACATATTACTCTGTCTGTGTGTAAATGAACATATTTACTGTACATCTATGCATTTTTATGTATAATACTTTATACATGTTTAACATTATGTCCTGTTGGTTCTAATAATATACTTTAAAATTATACAGTAAATATTTACTTTTTGCTATGTTTTAACTATCTTCTCATATTTCTCAATAGTTGCAAACTGGATTTTTTTTTCTCATTTGTAAAGCACATTCAGATGGCTAAACTACCTTGTTCTGACCCTCGCAATGGAGTGCCAGCTCTGAAATGTACTTGCCAGACTAGTAAACCATGAGTCTTTTCTGCTATTCTGTACTCCTATTTCAGCCCTGGTGTACTTTGTCTCAGAAAAAGAAGTGTAACTTTTTTTAAGATGAGGCACAATATGATAGATGTTTTGAGTGTCAGGAAAGAAATTATATGGAAAATTCTTGGTATCTAAGATTGTTTGTGCAGGTTTTTTTTGATTATAATGCACAGTGTTTTATTTCTGTTAGTGAGGATCCAATCAGATACAGCAAACTAATACCTGGATAGAGGAGAAACAAAAGAAAAAATTGCATAAGTTCAATCATTCAAAAGTATAGCAAACCCCAGTCAATGTCCCAGTATTGCCAGTTATTTGTAGAAGTTTAGCAAATTTAATATGCATCTATTGTTTTGTTTGTTTGTTTTTTTCTGAGAGGAGAGAATTTTGTGTGTAGGAATTAAAAATGGCTCAGGATGTATAATTTGGTAGCCTTGCATTATTGAGCTTGCATTCAAGGAGATTTTTTTAATATCTGCTGGGAAAAGCTCACACAAAAATGGCTGTCATTTTTGCAGTCACTTAGAAAAGTTATTCCAGTTCTAGAACTAAAACTTGCATCATGACCTACACAAACCAAGGAAAAGGTGAAACAGACCCCAGACCCCTACAAAACTCTTTATGACATATACTTTAGAAAAATCCCAGAAATCTTGGTTTTAGTTTTATGGGTTATATGCTTTACAAATAAACTAGGGAAATAAAGTATCTATAAGCACAAATATATCCATATATTTAGCTAGGACAAGTGTTGCTACAACAATGTGCGGTAGTTAGGCACTTGTGAATGTTCCAGGAAACTGTTTGTGGACTTCCACTTAACCATGAGGTTTTCACCTTCTCTCATTTAGAATATGTTCGTATTTACCTAGAACATAATAATATTAAAGACAGTAAGATTGTTCTGGTCCTGGGCTGCTATTTTGGACATTAAATGCTCATATTAAAAAAAAAAAAAAAAAAAAAAAGGACAATAAGAACTGTAGCTGCCTGTTTGCTTACTGGTTATCAAATTTGGCTGTAAGTGCAGTGAATGCCCTCGTACAGTCCTTTTAGTAGTGGTTATGAATATTGTATTAGGCATGTCATGGGAAGAATGCTACAAAATACAATAAAATGATGTCAGAAGCTTCAGAGTAAACCATTTTGGGTCTTTTTTAATTCAAGGAGTGTACTCACTTGGAATAGCATGCACACCGAAGAACTGGAGAAGGTATGCAGATGCAGATTTTCTCCCAGTGGAGTGGAGAACCTGGGGATTTTCCAAACAGATATTTTGTTGATACTTACAACATGTTTGAAAAGGATACAGGCACTGTACATTAGATATGCATTCATTTCTCTTATCCTAGTCATCTTCATATTCAGAGTTTCCTTGAGAGTGTAGACACAAAAAAAATCCTTAAATAGCAACTGCTACCTGTGCTTTTCGCTACCAAGAAACGCGAAATTTCTTCTTTGTCCTAGACATCTCTTTTTCATAGAATCGTACAATCATCTGATTGGAAGAGACCGTCAAGATCACCGAGTCCAACCATTCAACCTGCACTGTCAGGGTCCCTAAACCATGTTACTCAACACCGAATCCACACGGATTTTAAACACCTCCAGGGATGGGGACTCCACCACCTCCCTGGGCAGCCTGTTCCAATACTTCACAACCCTCTCTGTAAAGAAATTTTTCCTGATATCTAACCTAAATTTCCCCTGGCGTAACTTGAGGCCATTCCCTCTCGTCCTGTCATTCATAACATGGGAGAAGAGACAGACCCCCATCTTCCTACATCTCCCTATTCCTTTCAGTTAATTGTAGAGAGCGATAAGATACTCCCGAGCCTCCTCTTCTCTAGACTGAACAGTCCCAGCTCCCTCAGCTGCTCCTCATAGGACAAGTTCTCTAGACCCTTCACTAGTTTCGTTGCTCTTCTCTGAACCCGCTCCAGCACCTCAACGTCCTTCTTGAAGTGAGGGGCCCAAAACTGGACACAGTACTCAAGGTGTGGCCTCACCAGTGCTGAGTATAGGGGCACAATCACTTCCCTGCTCCTGCTGGCCGCACTGTTTCTGATACATGCCAGGATTCCGTTGGCTTTCTTGGCTGCTTGGGCACACTGCTGGCTCATGTTCAATCGGCGGTTGACCAGCACCCCCAGGTCCTTCTCTGCTGTGCAGCTTTCCAGCCACACTTCCCCAAGCCTGTAACGCTGCAGGGGGTTGTTGTGGCCCAAGTACAGGACCCGGCACTTGGTCTTGTTGAGTTTCATACAGTTAGCCTCAGCCCATCGATCCAGTCTGTCCAGGTCCGTCTGTAGAGCCTCCCGACCCTCAGGCAGATCAACACTCCCACCCAATTTAGTGTCATCTGCAAACTTGCTGAGGGTGCACTCGATCCCCTCATCCAGATCATTGATAAAGATGTTAAAGAGAACAGGCCCCAACACTGAGCCCTGTGGAACACCACTGGTGACTGGCCGCCAGCTGGTTTTAACTCCATTCACCACCACTCTCTGGGCCCGGCCAACCAGCCAGTTTTTGATCCAGCGAAGTGTACACCCGTCCGTCCTGCCTTTGCATGGTGGACTGTATCAATGTATTCATAGCACTGCAGTTTTCATAGGATCATACTTCTGAAGTTGGGAAGGACCTCAAGTTTCTGCTTGAAACAGGGCTAACCTCAAAGGTAAATCAGATCTGCCTGAGGTGGAAGATTTCAAAACCTCTCCATTCTGTGTTTCAGTGTTTGACCACCTTCACAGGGAATTTTGTTTTCCTTTTTCCAATCACAGTTTTACTATTGCACTCCATATCCTTTGCTCCGTGTCCTTTTGCTGTGCCATTCTGAGAAGAGTTGGGCTCGATCTTCTCTGTAAGCCCTGTTGAGGTAGCTGAGGACTGCCGCTAGATTTCTCTTTAGCCTCCTCTTCTCCAGGTGAAACCCTCACAGTGCCTTTGGCCTCTCTTTGGATGTTTTGTGCTCCAGCCCCCTAACTAGTTTAGTGACTCTCCACTGGACTTACTCAATTTCTCCCTCATACCTAGTACCCAAAACTGGGCACGGTACACCGGTGGTGGCCCCCTGAGTGCTAAGCAGAGGAGGTACAACCTGTCCCAAACTACTTCTCCCTTTTGGGATTCCACAGATGATCCTTACAATGGTGGCTGAGATGCTGAGAGAACTGGGGATGGCTCTGGGAGAGGTCTGGATTACGCTACTGCTTCAGGATCTTCAAACAGATATTATTGCTTGGTAAAGTGAAGAACAGATTTTCAAAGCTGGATATCACAAAAAGAGCCTATGCCACTCCACTGCCTATTTCCCTTAAATTTGATCAGAAGCAATCATATAAAGGTCTGTCTTCTTTTCTGATAAGCAGCTGACCAGGTACAGATGCCGCCTTTTTCCCCTCTCAGCAGGGAATTTCTAACCATTTCCCTCATACAGTGAAAGGATTCAGGGCAGTGGAACTTCCGTCTTCTCCATGTTTTTATGCCTCTAGTTTAACTATTAGCTATTGGGAATTTGTTTAAAACTGGAAAATATTCAAGTCAGTAGGATAAAGAACTTTTTATGCTCTAATCATCGGTTAAAAAAAAGTGTTACATTGCAATGATGTGCAAAAAGTTATTTTTTGAAAGCATACATTCTTTTATATCTTATTCACCTGTCCCAGAAGTGACAATTGCACAGCCCCACTCTGCATTTAGGATCTCTCTATCCTCAGTGTGCCTTACTTTATCTTGACCTCCTAGCATCTGTCCCTTTAAATGAAAAGAATCCAAAACCCGCAAAAAAGCAGGTGCAAGTTTAACGCAATTATTTTGTGGCTAACTGGTCTTTAATGCATTTCAGCTGTTCTTGCTAGTGAGAAATTATTGTTACTTGTGCCTTTTCTTATTCCTGGTGAAAAAAAAAGAAGAAGTTGTATTCCACATTTTGGCAATGTAAACCTGCCATATTACATGTCAGTATTAGGAAGTTATTCTCCTCTTACGCCTATATGCTTAACATACAGATGTCTGTCAAAGGAAAGTGAATACTTGTAGAACTTACCTGATGTGTCTTCCTTTATCAATATGAGTTCACAGTACAGAAAACTGCAGAGCAGAAAAAAATATAAAGCAGATTTTCATTTGTGAGCTAAAAATAAAACAAAAACCAATTAAATGCCATGTTAACTTTATTATTTTTAATGAAATAAAAAATATTGATAGTATCTTGATTGAAAGGTTCTAAATTGACAAGACTTTTCCAGATGAACAAAGATCAAAGTTAGTGCTTCAACTTTGTTATGCTGATGAAATGGAATATAGAATAAAATTAACTGGATACTACTGGCACAAGTGCCACGCTTTTTTAAATGGCTGCTTCTACTGATGACTGATGCTATCACTTACCAGGAGGTATG